GCGGACAACCACAGAGGCCCCAATCCCTCGCAAACCACAGCCAATCCTCGGTGATGAGGTCAGCGCCGCGCAGCTGATCTACCCCTGCCATTACGTCGCCCTCGGGGTGGACTCCAAGTACTTCGCGGGGGGGCGAGATCTGGCGGATATTCGGGATCTCTGCGTGAAGTGCGACTTCGGCCTCACGGAGGCGCAGATCGAACAGGTCTTCGCGGTTGCCGCGGTGGAAGGGAAATGCGGGATCGAACAATTCAAAAACACAGCGAGGGCGATGCGATTGATGTGAGGATCGAGCGATGATTCACACTTAGGGGTAAAACAAGAGTGGGGTACGTCATTTGGAATCTTGTATGTCCATAACCGAAAGAACAAAGTTCTGCGTTTCAACTGTGAGTATCCCACTCTCTCCTTTTTGTTTCCCCTTTTCTTTTATGGATTACTCTTTTGAATCATTATTAATGTATCTAGGCAGAAGAGAGTGTTTGTTTCATCTTGCCGTTTATGTGTACTCGCTATAGATATGTAAAACAAATAATATAAAGCATAGGTGGCTACTTTTGGCTTTTTGCTATAGAATTGCTATGGCCTTTAACCGGCATTAATTGTGCTTAAGGTTAATCATAGTTGCCGTTGGTCGGTTTATTTTTGGGTGTTCCATCAAGTTATAAACAAACTTTACTAGGGTAAATTTTCCGACATTAAAATTGCGTTTTTGAAATTTTAAAAAAAGTCTGCACGCCCTAGAGCGTTGAAGCCCTACGGTATTTGATTGTTTAAGTACATATAGTACGCAACATTACCAAGCTGGTTGGGGTGCTCGTCAGGATTTAGACCTGAAACTGCAATAGCAATCGTCATTGTTGGTAGACAACTAGTAAAGTGTGGATCCCTGATGCTTCGCCGAACCGTAGCGGCGCGCATTAAGCCATATCTCCACGCCTTTTCTCCCGGCGTGCGCCCGTCTGAAAAGGGTGCACTTTATCGTAATAACAACCAAAATTCCCATGCCCGTGTTTCGGCCTTGACCTCATCGCAGCGCACGGCCTCGGAGAACCGTACTTTTGTCCTGCTCGGTTTACCAGATCAGATGTACTTTGGTATGGTGCTGATGATAACCTGTATCATCGTTATGTATTTAAGCATAAGTCAGCGATGCTTTAGTGCTAACGGCTCCAAGCAAAATTGGATGATGAACCAGATGAATGAGCATGAATTCTATGCTCGAAACGACGAGATGGGACAAATATTTAATATTCACTCGGAGATGATAGAAAACTCCCGCCGCGCAGCTCTACGCCCCCCTGTGTTCACAGTACCCTCTGGTTATTCCAGCTTTAGTGGAAAATATGCACCTGAAAATCAATGAAGGAGTGTCACCAAATGGCATGAAGCATACAAAGCGGTGTGCAAATAAAAAAACTAGGGAACTTGCAATTCGATGCGTCTGAACTTATAAAGGCAATGTATGTAGGAAAAAGTATTCCAATAATTAAAGGGTCTAAGGGATTCAGTTGGGGTTATTCGTACTAGGGTAAGAAAAAAGGCTAGGATAGGTATAGTAGATATAGGACGTGGTAGTCACTTCTGACATTACGACATGCTTTATCATTCTGTTTCTTTGCATCACTTCAAAATTCTGAGTGAGGGGGGGTCCATTCATAAACTGTAATGAACATGCAGGGGTCCAGTATGGAAATAAGACGCTAGTGCATAACCTATCTTTTTCCTTTTTAATCATTCTTCGCTTATTCAAAAATACCTTGTTCTTGTGATACATATTAGAATAAAACGCAAGAGGGGAATAAAAGATTCTTTCATTTTCTATCTTAAAAATTCTCCGGCGTTTTTTTTTTGCCCTATCTCTATATATGCACCTCCCACTCGGTGCAAAATGGAGGTAAACAACATGCGGAGCGTCATCCTGGATGTCGGTTCGATGTACACCAAGGCCGGCTTTTCTGGTGAGATCGCACCGCGGAAAGTCTTCCGAAGCTGCGTCGGGACACCTCGTCATCCAGGGGCTTGTATGAAATTTTTCGACCCCCACCTGTCGAACTACGTCGCCGGCAATGAGGCCTTTTCCAACCGCGGGCTTCTTAACTTATGCTGGCCCGTGCGGTATGGCGATATCAAAGACTTCGAGCACTACGAGTACCTCCTCTATGACACCTTTTATCGCAGTCTGGAGGTGGTCCCCGACGCGACCTCCCTGCTAATGCTGCAGCCCCCCACCCAGACCCACAAAGATCGCGAGCGCGTGGCCGAGATCGTCTTCGAGACCTTCAATATCCCCCTTCTCGGCCTGCTGAACACCGCGACGGCGACGGTGTACAGCACCGGCCAAACCACCGGCATCGCCGTGGACAGCGGCGCCGGGAAGACCTTCATCGGGGCCGTCTGCGACGGCTACCCCCTCGCCCACCCCCAGCGATTCTCCCCCGTCGCCGGGGACGTCCTGACCCGGGAGCTCTTCGACGCCCTCCGCCGCAAAGGCTACCCGCTCTCGACCGAGAAGGACTGGGCGATGGTGGAGACCGCGAAGGAGACCCTCTGCCGGGTCTCCACCCCCCCGTCCTCGGACGGCCCCCCAAGAGGGGATCTCAAGGGGACCCAGAGGGGAGGAGGAGGGCCACAGGGGCCGCCCTGTGACACAGCCCCCGAGGCCCGTCTCAGGCTCCCAGACAACGAGCACGTCTTTCTCTTCGAGCAGGCCCTGCTGCTGGGGGAGCGGCTCTTTGACACGGCCCTGGTGTCGCAACTGCCGGGGGAGGCGGAGGTGGGGATCAACCCCATGGGAGACCCCACGGGCTACGCCGTCTCCAACCCGGTCTGCGCGCGGCCCTTCAGCGGGTGGGCCGACGTCGTCCAGGACGTCCTCGCGGCCGCCCCGGAGGCCTATCGGGACGGCCTGGCTAGGAATGTCGTGCTGGGCGGGGGGACGACGATGATGCGGGATGTGGAGGTTCGCCTTCAGAACGAGCTCACGCAGCGCGCGACGTCGGCGGTCAAGGTGATCGCGTCTAACGAAAGAGCCCAGGCGGCGTGGTTGGGTGGCTCCGTCTGGGCCTGCTCGCCTTCTTTCCCATCTCTTTGTCTGTCCAAGGCAAATTACTTCGAGGGTGAATCGAATGTGGTGCATCACTATGCCTGTTAAGAAGGGCGGAAACGAGAAAAAGAAAGAGCAATCTGCTATTGTTGTTGTGAAGTGTGGCTGTGAGCAAATTGGATGCGCTTTTCAGCATATGCTTCTTTTTTTACCTATGACTTTTTACTTTGATGTACACTATACCTCATGTGATCGAAAGAAGAAACCTTTGGATATATATGAGCTAGACCCAAATGAAAAAAAAAAAGAGCATGCGAAATGCACCGCTCTGTTTCCTAGATTTGTTGATAAACTCATGAATAAGTATTGATGCAGTGCAAAATGGGCTTGGATATGTGTTACACAGCCTCGATTCTTTACCTTACTTTGATCTTAGTATTAATAGAAATTTAGAAAGAGGGGGAGAAATACTTTCCTTCTATTATGTGTGTGAGTGCATCTAGATAAAAAATAACCTACTATTCATAAATTTAGCTCACGCAAGTAATTAGTGTGTCTCGCCAATGTCGCGAGTACGCGAAAACACGCCGAGCTTCAGAGGCTTCATGAACTCCTCCTCCTCTTCCACCCCCTTCACCAACACAATCCAACTTCCAAACATCCCACGCATGACGGATGACAAAAGCAAGGTGCGCTATATGACCGAATATGAAAAGTACGAGCAAGAGCTACGCCGCCACCACCTCGGCCCCCCGGAGACCTCCGTCACCATGGGCCTTAAGGACATCATCGGCGAGTTTGATCGTTCGGTTCCGCGCATCAGTGAACCGACTGTCGCTGAAAAAGAGTTCGAGCACTATCTGAAGCTTCGGAATGAGACTCGTAGGCGGCGAAACCAATTCCGCCCCTTTGTTCCGCGCTTACCAAAACCAAAAGTGAAAACCCTTCTAGTGGTGGATGACCCACCTGCTAGTGCAATCCAGAACGACGAGGCGAACGCCAACGAGGAGGACGCCTCGGCCGTAAAAACGGTCCAGGCCCCAACAGACGCCGAAATTCCCGCCGCGAAACCCCCCAGACACAGCGAAGGGGCTGTCCTCGTGACGGGAGAACCCGATTCAAATTCGAGAATCTTTTCGTCTAAGCGAAGCGTGAACCCCACCTTATCACCTTCCATTCCTAGTCGAAGCACCAGTAAAGAAAGAGGACAACACGTCAAAGATACCGAGACGATAATTTCGGCTAAGCGAAGCGTGAACCCCACCCTATCCCCTTCCATCCCTAGTCGAAGCACCAGTAAAGAAAGAGGACCAAGCACGAAAGAGATGGAGACGTTCAGCGCCAAACAACAGAAAAGCCCCGAACGCAAGCGGATCCCACGCGGGAGTCCCCAACGGAGGTCGCCGTCCGGCGCCCGGGATACACCGCGTAGGGTGCATCCAATAGAAACCCCGCCAAGAGACCGCCCCCGCGCGATCTCGCCCGACAAGTTATACAACAAAGTCACCATCAACGCGGGCCGCTACCATCCAAAGTACCCTTCCACGATGGATACCACCGTGTGTGTGGAGCTGCTGCGGACCCTTCTCTGTCCACAGGACAAGTACTCCGAGTCGATCCACCTGTCAATGGACTACATTGACCTGAATTGGCTAAAAAAAAACCGCCAACCCCCCACCAACCTCCGGAAGATTCAGGATCTAAATTTCCAACCCCACGAGGACCTCAAAACCCGGACCCCCATCCCCACCCTGAACTCCCCGCGCTCGGTGCTGGTTTTGCTGCGGAACGGCCTCACCATTAACGACCTGCTGCCCCTCAAAGACACCTCGGAGGAAGCCCTGCAGGTCGACTGCGAGTTTTTGCGTCTGCTTTCCCCCACGCGGATGGGAAAGATGGGCCCGTCGACGATTCGCGAGATGGTCCGCACGCATCGCGCCGGGGCGGACCAAAACCGCCGCGCCGCCCTCTTCGCCTTTCTCCTCGAGGACTACCGCCAGCTCTGCGAGCAGGTCTCGCTGAGTGGGATTGTCGAGGCCTTCCGCCTCCCCGCCCCCCCGCGGCCCCTTTCCGCCTCGCTCGACCCGCACCGCGAGCGAATAGGCCGGATCTTTTCGCTGCGAAAGTCCAAAATGGCGAAGACCCTCACCCTGGCGAACCTTCTCAAGGCGCGAAAAGAAACCAGCGAGGCGCGCCTGCGGCAAATCCAGTCCGAGGCCCAGGCCGCGATGGTGAGCAAAGCCCTCAAGGAGGCCCAGGCCCGCCAACGCCAGCGCGAACGCCTGGAGGCGCACCAAAACAAAAAAAAACAAATCGAGGCGATCTTCCAGCGCGCGATAGAGGAGAAACTCGCCAGGGCGGCGCAGCGAAATCGCGAACGCCAGGCCGCGATGGCGCGGTTGTTCGCCCAACAACATCAACGCCAGGAGGCCTTGAATGCCGAGCGCTCCCAGCGCTTTGAAGGGAACGCGGGGGTGCACCTTCAGCTCGCGGAGGAGGTCGAGCGAAAGCGTCTCACGAAGGAGGCGAAGTTGGAGTTTGGCAAACTTCTCCAGGCCGAACGGCTCGAGGTGGAGCGGTATACGCAGAAACTCGCCCAGGCCAAGGCGATGCGCGAGCGCGAGGCCGTTTTAGGCCGGGTCGCCGAAAAGCAGGCGGCGACCCTCGAGGCCGCGAGGCTTCGACAGCAAAAAGTCGAGGCCCACCTGCTGGAATTTCGCAAAAAGTGCGAGGACGAGCGCGCCGCCCGCGCCGTCGAGGAGGAGGAACGTCGGAAACGGCAACTTCAGGCCTCCGCGAAGGCGGTGGAGCTCGACGAGAGCCTGCGATTGCGCATTACGGAGAAACTCCAACAACGCGATAAGGCGTACTACACCCAAAAACGCGAAAACCTGCTCAAACGCGTGACCGTGCGTGAGCAGGAGCGCGAGATCGAGTCCGCGCGATCCTTCGCCGTGATCCAGAACCAGCGCGTGAAGGAATTTTGTAAACTACATACGATTATAGACCTTACAGGAAAGGAAAAAATTGCCGAGCAATTAAAGAATCAGCGCGAAGAAGCTTTAGAGGAGACCCGTAAAATCAATGAGATGCTGAACAAAGAGCGTGAAAACCTGCAGCAATAGATGGAGTTCGGATGAAATGCCCATTCCGGCGTTTTTTCTTTGACGAATGCCGTGTCATAGGTAACTACCCCTTTTTGGGACCTCGGGAAATTTAACCTCATTCTCATGTAAGATCACTATTAACGCTTTCTATAATTTGTTGCTTCTAATGTTCTTTCACTTGTGAATTCTATGGATGTATATATGGATATCTTGTGCTCAATAATTGTACCCCCGAGCAGAGAAAACCAACACATATTTTTTATCCTTTTATGTTTGCTAATACAAAAAAAAATGTCTTGTCTAACAAGTCTACCGAAATAAGTGAACTCAGTATGATTCGATTTTAATCACTCTACCGCGCTTTCTTTCTATTTTCTTAGATTCGTTTTCGTTTCCTTGCTTATAAAGCCCATTTATTTATTTATTCGATCGATTCTTTACTTTTTTTTTTCCCCTACATATCTGGGTTACCGTGTAACACGGTATATATACATTCAAATATATACAAATAAATATATTTATATTTATATATATATATATATATAAAGAGAGAGAAAGAGAGAGAGAGTGAAAGATAATAATCCTATCCATCATTCTAACCATTGGATAAATAAGGTGCCATACGAAATGCGCAAGCCTCCCAATCCCAAGTGCAGCCCTGCGCCCGTCTCCTTCAAAAACCTCACCCCGAGGCCCGTGGGCGAGCGCTACGGCGACGACGACCTCGTCCCCCCCGGGATCAAACTGAAGCAAAAAAAGAAGAAGGGGGGATGTACCTCGGCCCGGAAGCCTTTTTTAACCTCCCACTGCCCCTACTATCCGAAGAGGAGGTTCGGTTTGATCCCATCTTTCCAGGCCATACCCCGCCGCCTTTGGTCCTGCCTCGTACCCTTCCCGGAACCTACCCCGGGGAGCCCGATCCGGACCACCTCGCCCCACTTCAAGGCGAGCCCCACGGCCCTTTCGGCGGCCCGGGCGGCGGCCAGTTCGGCCCGAAATATCCCCCACCTTTACCGCAAAACCCCGGCAGAAGATGATTTTGTAGAGGAAGGAGATTAATGTAAAAATATATACTTCGAAAGATCGCGCTGATGCTTGCAATTTCCCCAATCACTCCCATCGGCTCAAAGCGCGGTTGATGCCGGTTAGACAAAAGGTTGGTGCTTTTTTCTGCGGAAGTTCGATACATTATATATATACATATATATAGATCACTTTCATGAGGTACCTTGGAGAGGAAAAAAAAAGAGGTATTCCCATTTAATGCTGTATTTCACGTTTAATTTCTATAAGTCGCTAGCGAAAAAAATGTTTAAAGTATAAATTTGAAAAAAAACAAATCGTGTAAAACAATCCGACTCACAAAATAAAATAAAAAACTTCGAGATCACCTATTGTAGACACCCATTTGGACATGGCATAACCCTTCCACAGCTTTCAACCGCTACACATTGAAGGCCTCCTCTTTGTCTTTCCTTCTTTGGTTGGTTTTATCGAAGTAGTGCATAAGATAACGTACCGTCGAGTCTCGCGGCGCGCGCGCGGAGCCGATCTTGATGCGCCGTCGAACGCCCTGGTGGATCTTTAACGCGTCCGATGGGGTTGGCAGAGCCCGTGAAAGGCGACGCCCGCCCCTGTTGGAGTCTCGGCGCGATTTAAAAACCCTAGACGTGCGCGAATATCGCCCATTGGGCACCCCGATTGAGTTTCGCTTCTACCAACGCTACACCAACCACCCGAATCGGCAGTCCGGCATTCAATTTCTCACCCACTACAACACCCACCAGCGCTTTCGCGTGAAGAAGGACTACATCGATTATATGAATTGGGGAAAAGAGCAAGGCCAGGCCCGACTACCGCACCGCCATCAACGCGTCGCCTTCGACTTCCACGACAGCCTCCACCCCACCCTTGGCGATGACGAAAATATGGAGTGGTTTCGCACCCAAGACCCCACCATGGGCCGCCATCCCGACCTCTCCCCGAGCTTCGACCCGAACCAAAAAGTCTTCTCCCACCCCGAGCACTGGAATAAGATGTTCTCCAAGCGCCGCCCGGGCGAGGGGGAGATCAAACTCAACGTTTTGGACTCCCAAAGTCTTCTGGGCCCTTTGGTGACCCAAACCGATACGCCGTCGATCGCCTACTTCCACACGTCCACCCAAGCCCCCTCCTACGGCAAAGTTCCCGGCCTCAACAGTCCTTTTTTAGGGGAAATGGATCGCCAGATGATGCAGGCCATGTCCTATTCCTTAAACAAATACAACACCCTCACCGCGAACGACGGGCGATTCTCCAAAACGATTTTTATCAACGACCCCAAACGTGATCAATGTTTATCCGGCAAACTCGCGAAGCATCTCAATCGGGTGCTCGACCAAACCACCAACGCCGTTTACAGCAAATTGACCGTCCTCACCGCGGCCCAGTCGGGCCGGACGGAGTTCTTCTGCGGCGGCCTCGACCTCGAGGAGGTGGGGCTGGGGATGAGTTTGGCGGCTGACCTTCGCGCGCGCGCGAGGGAATTAGGGGGGGGGACGTCCTCGCGCTGGAGCCGCCTCTGGCGGATGGAAATCCTTCCCAAAATGGCCCACGGGAGGGGGAACGAACCCCCCCGGGGATTGCGCCCGATTTACCGGATGAGGGTTCTTCGCGGGATCTCACACGGGATAGGACGCCTTCCGAAGCAGCAACAACCCCCTGGGGAGTTGAACAAACTTTACCAGATGAGGGTTCTGCGCACGATTCCGCAGGGGATACGACGTCCTCCGCGGCTTTCGCAAAGGCCGCGGAGGTCCAACGGCTCCTGCAGGATGCGGATCGCTATGTGGACCGCGTGGACGACGCCCTCCGGGCCCACGCGGCCCTGATTTGGCGGGCCTACACCGCCCCTCGCCCGCTGATGGCGTTGATTAACGGGCGGTGCCGCGGGACGGGCTGCGGGCTGGCGCTCGCGACGAAGTACGCCGCCCTGGAGGATTCGACGGAGTTCATCATCGACGGCCCCCACATCGGCCTCACGCCGTTTAGCGGGGCGACCCATCTTCTGGCGCGCGTGGAGAGCTCGCTAAAGTACCCCGGGCTCGCGGAGTTTGTGTTGTTGACCGGGACCTCTCTTTTTGCCGGCGACGCCTTGCGGCTGGGGTGGACTGACCTCTACACCTCCTTGCCGGATATGACCTTTCACATCAAGGACTGGTTCGACGCCTCGGAGCACCTCCACAACGACGCGGTGGCCTGGCAACTCGGCCACCTCCTCGAGAAGTGTTTTAAGATGAAGGACATGCACGCCTCGGCGATGGAGCGCGCCGCCATCACCCCCACCCGCGCCCGCTGGATCGAGGACGCCTTCGCGGATCAGCCCTCCGTCGAGGAGATCCTCCGCGCCCTCGGCGGGATCGAAAAGCTCGACTGGGGGGATCCGCTCAACACGATGGAAACCTGCCCGGCCTCGCCCTACACCCTTTCCGGCGTGGAGGAAGGGGTGGCGAAGCTGGAGGCGACCCAGCTTCAGTATTCGCTCTCGCCCTGGACGATTACGCCGCCGGAGGAGGAAATCGCGGTCCGCCAGGCGGGGGATATTTTTCTTTCCTATGTGCTCGAGGCCCGCGGGGACCGCGAGGTCGTCGTGCACCGCGATCGCGAGAAACTTCGGCGCTGGCACCAACAACGCGAGGACGAATATCGGGCCTTTCGGGCCCTGCAATCGACCTGCTATCTCCGCCACGTCTACGTCCGTCTGGAAGGCTGCGAGAACGCCCTGGTGGGGTTTGATTTCTACTTCGACTTCCAAGCGGATCCGGGCGAGCCCGTCGAGGAGGAGGAAAAGCACGCCTTCGTCCTCAACCAACTCAAACAAAAGGCTTTGGCGGCCCTGCGGATGCCGGCTTCGCGGGGAATCGACTTAGGCTGGTATTTGCCGAGCCTGGATACCGCGCGGGTGCGGACCGACGCGGAGCTCCAGCGCGTCCTCCACACCGACCCCGGCCTCGAAGACGTCCGCGAGGGACTGCGGTACCCGCCGGTGTATTTTATCGCCAAACGCGTGAATTTCTACTTCTCGGAGTGGGCCTACGCGGTGCACCACCAACTGCTCCTGCAATCGCCCTTCGCGCTGAAGGCGAGCCTGGCGCTGCTTCACGAGGCCCGCGGCGACCCCGCGACCGCGCAGCCCTGCTCCCTCGCGGGGGCCCTGCGGCTTGAGTTTCGCTACCTCGTGCGCTGCCTCCGCCGGGGGGACTTCCACGCCGTCGGGCGGCATACGACGCACTCCGCGGAGGCCTGGCGAGGCCTCCGCGCCGCCCGCGCGCGGGATCTTCACCACACCTACCTCCCCACCCGCCCCATCCCCGACTTCGACGCCGTTTTCGAGCGCGACGTGGCGTTGGCGGGGCATTTCTTCCGGCTCCGCCCGCGGTGGTCGCCGCGGACGGTGGGCGAAGTCGCCCAGGCCGACCTCG